ATATATATTTATGGACTATTAGCTATTGTTGAATTGTTTAGGATGTACATGCGTATCGGGCCTCTGTTTGGATTGTCGTAGTATAGAACTTGCGCGTGGGCCTGACCCACTTCTATTTTTCAGGTACACGACAGTTCCAGGCTTAGACGTGTTCGTGCTGAGCAGAGATCTCTATTCACTTTTCCGACGATGTTGGGCTCTCTCTATAGTTTTATTTCTGGACGTTTATTACATTTGTTCTATCTTCCGTTTGGATGTTTAATAGGGGTCCACTAGAGATGGATTCTCAAGTTGTAAACTGATGGAGTTTTGGAGTTTGGGTTTGATGGATTTTAATAATTATAATATTTTGCGGATTCTATTTTTAGTTCCTTCCAGCTTTAATTTCATTTCTTAATTTATTTTGTATTCCGTGTTCATTATAAAATATTAATTGTTTGATATTCCCTCGGGTTTGGGCCTGGGCCTGATCAACCCGTGTCTCGGATCCGAGGGGTATCTCATTATTCAAGTCTGATATAGTACTTTAGCATACTCTCTATTTAATCTCACGAAAACATCTTATTTACATTTATCATGATGCTTGAAGAAAATAAAATAATGTAAATGTTAGCTTTGGAGCGTATTCGAGGTAAACTCTAGAATATTGCACCAATTCATCTCATTTGCCGTATTTCACTTATTCAAAGCATTAATGTTCTCTTGGGCATCTTAAAGTAAAAGGATTATGTTTTAGGAGTAGTAAATACATTTGTACCACCACGTTGTGAATAAAATATCTAAATTCCTTTTCTAGTCATTATAAATGAAGTCCACATACAATGAAATTAGTAAGCAGATAAAATGGATTAGACATAATTAGTCTGAATATAAATGCATTTATACAATATGCAAGGTGAATTATTAATACTGTCATGCATATTTAAAATTAAAATGAGTTTGTTTACCACATAATATAATAAATCTCAATCGAACAAGAGATCATTATCATTATTGGTGAACAATCCCTTTTAATTAATGTGGGTCCCTCAACTCTGTAGCATAATAAATCAACCAATCAATATGTCAATAACTTATCCTGTTGGAGGAGTTCATTATTATTATTGTAGAGATTCATTTGCTATTAGGTGAGCACTTCCATTAAAATAATATGTGGCTCCCTTAACCACTGCATGAAAAATCGGATAACCAATACACCAATAACTTATTCGGTTGGCGAAATTCATTACTGTTATTGGCGGGCAAATCCCATCATCTCCATATTTCTTAAGACAATGTCTTGTCTATCTATATGAAATGATTCCCGATTATGTTTAGCCTTTCTAAAATCACCTAGTGTAGACCACTCCGTTGGGAAGCTAACACTATTGATTTTAGATTGAGTGTATAACGTTATTAAAGCTCTAATGAAAAATAAAATATTAAATATCTTGTCATTATAATCTAGACTCTTTAAATCATGCGTAGGGCCTTATTTTTAAAGATTTAATTACAATGAACATTTAATATTATTATTTTCATTAAATAACCATTCTTGTAATATTAAGACTCTTCAAATCATGTGTGGGGCCTTATTTTTGAAGATCTAATTACAATGGTGTTAATAACAAAGGCCATGGGGCAATGTATAAAAATCCCCGCTCCCACTTAATTTTTAATCATTCATAATTAGGGTTTTCATTTTATTCATTTACATGATATAATGCATGCAAAACGTCTTGATTTTAATCCAATTAAATTTAGAAAATATTTGGACTTTAAACGATTCACTAATATTTAATTTGAGGCACACTTTAAAAATAATTTACAAAAATAATTTTTCATTTCCTAATAAGTGCTCTCAAATTAATTAGTAATCAAATCCAATTAATTTTCATAATTTAATTAGTATAAATCAAGTCATTTAATTAAATATTATGGATCCAATGCATGAATAATAATAATAAATAATTAATTATTCCATGCATCAGTTAAATAAATAAATAACAGACAGAAGCAATTTAAATGGCCAATGGATTCAGCTTTTAACATTTATATGCTCTAAGTAATGCGCGAGGGTCTATCATTAGCCGCGTCACATGGGATTATTTCCCATCAATCCCTCTTGATCTCCAGCCAAAACCTTGCTGCCGATAACTCTCCGGTCGCCGGAAAATCGCCGAAAAATTTCAGAAATTAAATTAGGCCTTAAAAAATTCCAGAAAAATTCTGAAAAATTTCTAAAAAATCCCAGAAAATTCCTGAAGCCTAATTTAACCCTCTTGGACCTTCTTGAAGCTTCATAGCATCCTTTGACGAAGATTACATGGTTTTAAAAATATTTACAATTTGAAATACAAAGGAAAAAATTAAATTACATCATTGAACTTTCAAACGGCTAAATCAAAGCCTTAATTACATTAATTTAACCCATAAGCTTCATCCATGGCCCAACCATACATCATCATTCATTCACAATTATTCATACATCATCATGTATCAATATATATCAACATATTAAATCATACATCAACATACATCAATAAAAATATATATGAATATAATTTTGGATCCATGAATGATGATTTTCATAAAATCATGATCTCTAGTAATGAATCAAACCATGCTCTAATACCACTATTGGGAAACGCGTTAGTTTTAAAAACTTTTCGAGGGATTTAAATTCATAAATCTTGATTCATTACATAGAGATAAGTTTTATGCAAAAATAAAACATGATGTATCATTCAATTAAAAGATTAAATACTTACATCAAGGTTTGAGTAAACCTTAGATCTGTCCTCTAAAGTGAATATTCTCACTTATTGTAGATCCCTTAGCAAGATGCATTTTTCTTGAATCTCCATCTTCTTGGTAATTGTTTTACCTTTAGGAATCACTCATATGCCTCCATGAATGACCTTGGAAAACTAGGCTTGTGGGAGCCTCCATTAGATGAGAACATAAACCCTAATTTTCTAGAGAGAGAAAATATATTCCTTTTTCCTTCTACTAAAAATCACCCCTAAAATATACATAGACCATGTATATTTATAGGCAACATAAAGGTAAAGAAAATGAAACAACTAATCCTTCTCAATTTCTAATTCACATATCTCAAATCTAATATGATTCCAATATCAAGTTGGGCTATGAGTGAGAATTCATTGGGCCTATTATTTTATTGGCTACAATGAATTAATAATTGGCATGGTCCATGGACCCAATTCAATTAATTCATAAATTAATTTCTACTCCACTAAAAGAAATTAATTGAACTCCAATTAAATAATAAATAACTTCTAAGTCAATATTGCATTTTGACCCCTCTATGCATAATTAGTTATCGGATAAATAAAGCCATCAATCCGACTACTTAATTAATATATTTATTTTGGTACCTTTGATTATTTTTGGCTCGATCACAATAAAACATTTGTTTGACAAAAATAATAATTTAAATAAATAAATATATAATAAATCATTTTGTCTAAAAATACACGAAGGCCTTCGAATTTACTTTGTGATCAAATATAATCAATACAAAATAAATACAAGTAGCAATGATGCAAATATTGAAAATATAACCCTCTAACTATTAATTACATAACTACCCAAAGTGTCGGTCTAAGGATCCCGAAGAATCCGCCGAACAAATCAAAGTAATTATTAATTAATAAAAGAGTCTATAATTTTTTCATACTTAAGAGTCAAATGCCATGGCGGTGATAGGGAACAATTGCATACGACGGCTCTCGCAATATATCTCAACCTAACGCGGATCCAGTTCAAATCTTAATTAATTATGAGTCCATCCATAATTACCGACTATGAACCATTTATGATTACTATTTATATATCATGCATTGATTGCCATCACAAACATATATATAAATATCTCTTGTAATCAAATGGACACTATCAATTCTATAATGAATCGAAATATAATACATTGGATTCACCAATTGTATAAAACATAAATATTTCATAAACGTCAGGAACATATGTCACTTTAATCCAAATAGGAATTTGCTATGCCAGGACATATAAATCCCAACACTTTGAACCTAGGTCATGTTGCACCATGTGCCTCAATCTAATTATTATTTTAGTCAATCAATAAACTAATACATATTTTCAAAGTCAAGCCCAATAGCTTAATTGAATCAACTATGAGGGAGAGGACTGGGAGAGAGATGTCCAAGTAATAATTATTCATTCTACAAAAAAAAAAAAAAAAAAAATGCCAACATTAATATTTTAAACTTTCTTGCAATTATATAATATATATTAGAACAGAATTATGCTTCTTGCTTAATTATTTGCATGAGAATTGTTATAAACTAAATTCCCTTTTAATTTTTGCGGTTCTTATAGATTGTGAGTAACATCGGCAAAGCACCTTTGCTAGTGCACATCTACTCAGATGATGAAAAAGCATCCTCATCATCATCCACCTCAATCAAAATAACGATAGAGAAGGCTGTTGCTAGAGGACTGTGGGAGGCGGAGAGTCCCATCCCCACCCCCAACGGCGTTATCTTGGTGGAGGAACTAAATAGTAGCGAAGAAGGTGGTGCCATTTGCGATGAAAAGAAGTCGAATGGTGTGGGCATCAGCAGCCAGCAGCACAAACTGTGGGGAATACTCATTCAAGGCAAAGGGGTTAATCGCATTGGACATGCATGCTACATCCTCAAGACTTGCCGAGTTCAATCCTTGTTCGGATTCTGCACCCACTTTTGTTTAACTAGGGTTGAGTGCTTTGTAGAGAGTGCAGAAATTCAGCTTCAAAAAATGTGGTTGCAGAGGTAGCTAGGGATCTGCATGCCTCAGGTTTTACTTTTAACATTTCCTTGTATATTCACCGATACATGAACATGATTATTTCTGAATACACTGCAAATTGTTTATTGGGACATGTCTAGTATCCCTGAAATTTGAATTCATCAAGCCATAGACATCATTCCTAAGTAAAGTGACAATTCTCTAATATCTTTTTGATAGAATGGGTCGTTTTTATTTAGCATAAAATGTATTAATCCTCTAAATCAGCATTATTTTATTACTTCAAAATGACATACAATACAGGACATTACAAATGATTCTATAAAACACAAAATACACACAGGGTAGAAGAAGAAAGATAATGAAGAAGATTTACAACAGAACATCAGAAAAATTTCTATCAACTGGAAGATAGAAGAAGCTATTTCTCTAAAACACACCATATAGTAGTAGCAGTGGCCTAGAGCAGTAGCCATAATCATCAGCATCAAGTGAATTGAAGTTATTCATTTGGATTTTCCTTGTCATCAACATGGTTTGTAGAATCCCAACTGTGAGAGCCGGTAACTTTTGCCATAATTTTTCCTTGGTCGCAACCAATTACAATTCTGTCATGACAAGTAATAGTAGCAGTAAGGACACAATAATAAGATAAAATGTAGTAGAAAAAGGCATTTGAAAATTTGGACAATGAAGTCCACATCCATTTTTCCAAACACTTGCCATGGCGACGCAACTTAGCTTTATATGACTAATTTGTGTCAGCTACATGCACAAGAAAAGTGAGTTATGAAAACAAAAGGATAATTAAGAATGGCTTATTCTGTTTTCTATGAGTTAACGAATAATGTCCATTGTGCTAAGGGTGTGACACTGATGGGGTAGAGATGTCATAACAATATTTTCATAATTAAAGAGTACGTTGAGCATCTTCCTAGAAATTTACTACTAAAGACATGAATGAAGAAAATTATCTGCAAAACTTACTGGGATGAATCTCTCATGCATCCAATATCCCAAACTCTTCCGAGTTCATATTTCAGTGTGTTCTCAAGCCTGTAAAACAATGAGCGATTGAGTAATTCGAAACTTAAAAGTGGCTGAACTAAAACATGTTTTGATTGAAGAACAATTGATCTGCAGTGTTAGGACTCATAATATGAAGATGCTCAAGTTTTCATGGTATAAGATTTTAGTTTCGAGTTAAATTTAAAATTGAGAATAGTATCCGAGTTAAAATTAATACTGTTTCGTTTTCTGGCCATCTGAACCAAGTATAAATTATTTTACACCTTACAGAAGTTACCTGTAAGTTGTTGCGTGCCATATCCGAATAGTCCCATCCTCAGAACCTGTAATAATAATGGGAACTTCTGGATGAACACATATTGCTGTTACATTGTTCGTGTGGCCTTGTAGCGTCTGGACACAAGTTTTGGTTTCATAATCCCACACCTGATTTCATAGGATCTAACAGTAAGTATATATTCTAATTATATTACATGTCTACTAAAAACAAATTGTACTAGGCTTGAAAAATGAGTAACAATATGGCCGACCTTAGTGGTATAGTCATCAGAACCAGTGATCAGACATGGTTTATCACCAGCTGTGAAGAAACCAACACAATTTACCCCATTTGAATGGCCCTCCAGAGTGAATTTCGGACTAGAGGAGCCAAGATCCCAAATCTGCAAAAGCAAACATTAATTACCACAGAATAAAAATACACAATTATACCTTCTCTAGCGAAAAACGAACTTTATAAGTTGCCATAACACAATCTTAGGTGTACCTTCGTTGTGCAATCAAGTGATGAACTAGCAAAGGTGTTGGTGTCTCTTGGATTAAATGCTACTTGCATGACATAATGACTGTGTCCCTCAAAGATTCGAGTGCAAGCCCAATCCTTCTCCCAATCCCAAAGCATTACGAGCATGTCATCAGAGGCGGAAAGAACATATGGAAGGGTAGGATGCAGAGCCAAAGACCTGATATAATCTGTGTGCGCCTCAAATTCTTTAACTTTTTCATTGGTATTGTAATTGTATACACGTATAAACTTGTCATCCGATCCAACAACAACCCAGTCTTCACGTGCTATGAACTTCGCTGATCTTACTGCAAAACACGTACACAAGTTGAAATGTAAAGACGAGTGAATTCTGTTAGATTATAGGGGGAAATGCAAACACAAAATGTAGAGATTAGTATACCTGGTGATTCTGTTACTTTGAAGGATTTCTCTATAGCCTGTAAAAGTATAAGTGGTAAATGCAAACACAAAATGTAATAGTTTAGGGAACGGAGAAAATAGATGCCGGGAAATAAGTATATGAAGAAGATGCTGCTGAATTTAAGAAACCCTGAGTATATTACCAAGATGGATCACTAAAAACCATAGAAAATGGCTAATTAGGATTAAATTTAACAGAAATAATCAATCACTTCAAGCATAACATAATTGTGTAAAAGAAACGCAATTTCTTACTTGTGACTGGTAGTTCCAAATACACACTGTTCCTGAATATAAACTTGCTAGAATCCTGCAAGAACAAGTATTATGCGCCATAGTTCAGTAAAACAAATACTTAATTCACCATGAACCATTTTTTTTTTTTTCTTAAACTCTCTTTACATTAAATATATTGCAGCATTCACTAGTCACCATTTGTATTGAAGTAGGAAAACAGTTGATAATTTGTTGCTTATGTAAGTAATAATTATACATTAGCAATGTAGAAGGTAAAACAATGCTGGTCAAAAAAATTTATAATCACCATGGCTGTGTTGGATGGAAATCCACCGACTTAACTCTCTCTGACCTTTGTTCAAGTTCCTTCTGATTCAGAAATTACTGTTAGTATACAAAATAATAACAATAATAGTAGTAGTAATATAATAATAAATTATTCAGGAAATAATAATAAAAAAAAGTCTTGGCATAGATGTAAAGCGAATGAAGAACAATGTACCGTGAATTCAAGTGTGAGAGGCTGTTGATCGCCAGATATAAAATCCAAAGACATGATCAAACAAAATTTTATTAGTCTCAACTCAAAATTAAACCAAATGCGCGCACGGTATTGAACAATTACGAATTAGTAAAAGACTGGTGTTAGTACATGAAATATTCAATTCAATTTCATGAGAATTAAATCACCCCATATATATATATATATATATAAAAGAAGTTATCACTTGGAAAACCTCATCACGCATACTTTTAATGAATGCTCCGACCTCTTGCTTTATGTAGCATTATTTCGAGATCATTTTTTTAAAATTTTTATTTGGACATGAAACTCACACTCCTGTTATGGGCTTCAATCATTGACCTTCTATTTTAGAAGGTGAGAAAGTACTTATAACTCTCGATGAGTTTGTCTAATTCTAATGAAAATTTTCTAAATGCGATGCAATCTATACAGACTAACATTATGAACGGCTAATTATAACTCTGTTGATGACAATAATATATATATATATATATATATATATATATATATATATATATATATATATATATATATATATAAAATGCAAATTATTTTTAGACAATTCGAAGACAAAGCAGAAAATAAACTTACCATTGTCAAATGTTAAAGAAGCTGAACAAATTCTAAAAAATGGAGGAAAAAAGTGCAGATTTATGTTTGAGAAAGGAGGGGCTTAAGCTGTTTGTAACTTTGTAGTTGTGAAACCCCTATTTATATGATAGCATGCTTGGGGTAGTTAAGAAAATGGTCATGTCTCAACTTAATAAATTATTAAATTGTGACTACTTGGAATGTTCTGTTGTCAAAATACATTGAATGTTGTGTATGTGTCATACAATACTCCTGGACCCGTTGGATATGAAATGTGGTAGAATTGACGGCTGAGATGAAACTTAGTTGGATATTGAGTTCGAGAGCAGCAAAAATTGGAAAAGTCAAGTCAATAGAATGAAGTTTCATTAGAAGATGCAAAGATTCTAACACGCTTTTACTTTTGTTGTCTTGGATGAAATTTCTCCAAGTATAAAGATTTGGCCTCTCCCTCACATCGCATTCGGAGTTGGATTAGAATTCATTTTGTTTTATTGATATCCACGTCTTGTTTAACACAGGTCAATGCCTATTTCACATTCTGGAATATATTTACAAGAATAACCTCTTTTATTTATTTATTACAGACCCAAATTTGTTTTTCCCGAACACATGATGTTAGAAGAAACTTCTAAATATTGCATAAAAATTATAAAATTATGTTGACTCCAAAAATGTGCATCCTACGCTATTGGGTCTTGAAGAGACAGGCTGGCAAGGCAGAAAACCTAGTCTGATGGCTAGCCCAAGCAACAGATGAGCCAAAGAGTGAAAGCCTCAATTGGACTCTCCAAATAGTTTAAAAAAAGGGAAGAAACAAGCCAAGTCAAAGAAAGGAATGGGTTAGTGGTGTGGACAGTATGTTTCTTGGGACGTCTTCCGCTCGAGAAATTATTGTATTTCTTATCAATCACGTGATGACATATAAGCAAAACGTGAAATAAAGTTGACGTAATTACTTACTTGTCACTGTGTGATTGGTCAGACCAATGATCCCAGAACCATATAATAATTTCTCCACGTACCTATGTGATTATCAATATATAAACCAAACATTACTTTTTTTTTAGGAAAAATTACATATAAATGGAGTTAAAGTTCCATATTTACTTAGAGGCTGAGTCAAAGTTCCATATTTCTCTAAAATGGATTGCTGAGGTGGCACATGGTTTTTTACTGTTTAGAAATTGTGATGCCTAAAATACCCTTCCGCGAAGGTACTACTTTTTCTTCGAAGGTACTACTTTTTTGAACTGAAGGTACTACTTTTTGGCGTCCAGGTACCATGTTTTTTAAACACTCGCGAAGGTACTACTTTTTCTCCGAAGGTACTACTTTTTTGAACTGAAGGTACTACTTTTTTGAACTGAAGGTACTACTTTTTTATTAGGGAAGGGCATTTTAGGCACCACAATTTTTTAAACAGTAAAAAATCATGTGCCACCTCAGCAATCCATTTTAGAGAAATATGGAACTTTGACTCAGTCTCTAAGTAAATATGAAACTTTGACTCCATTTATATGTAATTTTCCCTTTTTTTTACCACCCTAACCCCTCTATAAATAAGGTGCTAGGAAGAAGGGATCTTGAGGGTGCAACATTACTTTAAATCTACACTAAATCAATGTACCCTAGCCTAACTTGGTTAATCTTAGCTCATAGTTGTTACTCTAACTTAGTTAATCTCAGGTCATCCGTCGTAATCATTTGCCAACCCTTGTGTTTAGTTGCTTTGTATCTTAAAATTTTCAGATCACTGAAACATTAAAAAACCTAGAGAAGGGAGTGATTTCCATCCTTTCTACAATTGTCTGATCATTTGTTTGTTAACACATGCTGTATCCTGAAGACTTGGGATTCTGCACCCACTTTTGTTTAACTAAGGTTTACAGCTTTGTAGAAAATGCAGAAAAACAGTTTTAAAAAAATGTGGTTACGGAGATGGGGATATTTGCATGCTTTAGTTTCTGTTCTAAATATTCTTTTTCTAGAAACTTGGGGAGATATTTCTGTATGCAGTGTTGGAAATTTCATTGCATTGACAAATTGATCACAAGAAAGAACATATTAGAATAAGTTTATTCACAAATTGTTTGTTAACACGACTATTCCTAAAATGCATATTCACCCATACATAAACATGATTTCTGAATACACTACAAATTGTTTCTTGCTACAAGCCTAGTATTCCTAAAATTCACATTCTTGGCAGGGGGGTCATTTATATTCAGCATAAAATATATTAATCCTCTAAAGCAACACATTTTACCATCAACATTATTTTATTACTTCAAAATGACATACAATAGAGGAAATTAGGAATGATTGTAGTGACCTCACTAGTCATATCCTCTTGGAGTTGCTACAAAAAACACAATACAGACAGAGTAGGAGAAGAAAGACATTGAAGAAGATTTACAACACAGTCATAAGAAAGATTTATGCCGATAATGAAATGGCATTCCTCTAGATTTGCTTCAAAACACACCACAATAGTACTATAGCAGTGGCCTAGCTGCCTAGCAGCAGCCATACTCCTCAATATCAACTAAGGTTTGCAGAATCCCAACTGTGAGAACCGATAGCTTTTGCTACAATGGTTCCATGGTCACAACCGATCACAATTCTGTCATGACAAGTAACAGTAGCAGTAGGAAGACAAGAACATGTAAGATAGATAAAAAAAGAAGTAGAAAAAGGCATTTGAAAATTTGAACAATGGAGTCCACATCAATTTTTCCATACAATTTCCATGGCGACAACTTAGCTCGATGGTGACTATTTTGTGTTTGCCGTATGCTTAAGAAAAGTGAGTGACGAAAAACAAAATGATGATTAAGAACTACTTGTTCTGTTTTCCGTGACTTAGGCCAATGAATGTCCATTGTGCTAAGGGCATGACACAGATGGGGTAGAGATATCATAACATTTGTAACTGGCAATGACATGAAGTGAATTCTCAACCTGAATGCTGAATCTGAATTTTGGATATTCCAGACAAGTTTTAGCCTGTAAGTCGTAACTGTTCCATCCTCAGAACAATGGGAAATTCTGGATCAACACATACTGCAGTGACATTGTTTGTGTCGCCTTCTATCGTTCGGACACAACATTCAAATTACATTACATGTCTACCGAAACTCTACTTTGCTTAAGAAAATGAATAACATTATGGCAGACCTTAGTGGCATGGTTATCAGAACCGGCGATCAGATATGGTTTATCACCATCTGTGAAGAAACCGACACAATTCACCCCTTTCGAATGGCCCTCCAAAGTGAATTTCGGACTAGGGGAGCCAATATCCCAAATCTGAAAAGGCAAACATTACCATAGCATAACATTACCCAATCCTTCTCCCAATCCCAAAGCTTTACGAGAATGTCATCAGAGGCAGAAAGCACATATGGAAAGGTAGGATGCACAGCCAAAGACCTGATAAAATCTGTGCGCAACTCAAATTCTTTAATTTTTCATTGGTATGGTAATTGTATACATGGACAAACTTGTCATCAGTTCCAGCAACAATCCAGTGTTCACGTGCTATAAACTTCGCTGATAAATTTCCGAAAAAAATAAAGAAAAACTTTGCTGCTCTTACTGCAAAACACATACAAGTTGAAAACTTGAAATGTAAAGACTAGAGTGAATTGTGTTAGAGATGGTAGGAGAAAATGCAAACACAGAATTCGGACTTCAATTCGAGTATCACGACTCTTTTATTTTTATTTTTATTTTTGTGTCTTGTTTAAAAGGTCAATCTCTGTTTTGTTAACATCTTAGATCAATGAGAGGTAATAATCTCTTGAGTAATTATGATAAATTGCATTGATTGTCAATTTCAAAACATTTTTTTTTTCTTGCATTCATTGAAGGGGTCACTTATATTCACTAATACATAAACATGATTTTAAAATACACTGCAAATTGTTTATTGCGACAAGCCTAGTATTCCTAATATTCAAATCCTTCAAGCCATTATTAGCCATAGACATCATTCCAAAGTAAACTGACGATTCTCTAACCTCTTGTTGACATTCATATTCAGCATAAAATATATTAATCATCTGAAGCAACACTTTTCACCAGCAAACAACTTAATTGAATTCCAAAAAAGTAATGATATTTGATTACTCCAAAATGACATATACAATGCAGGACATTAGAAATGATTCTAGTGACCTTAATAGTCATATCCTTTTGGAGTTGTTACAAAACACACAAAACACACATAGTACTACTCTTTACACCTTTATAGTCTATCTCCCAACTGAAAGATAGAAGAAGTTATTCTTTCAAAACACACCATATGGTTGTAATAGCAGTGGTCTAGAGCAGTATGGCTACTGCTCTAGCCGCCAAGCACTAGCCATACTCCTCGGCATCAGGTAAATTGAAACTATTCATTTGTCATCGTCAAGGTTCGCAGAATCCCAACTGTGAGAACCGATCACTTTTGCCATTATGGTTCCTTGGTCACAACCAATTACAATTCTGTCATGAGAAGTAACAGTAGCAGTAAGGACACGAAGAAAATATAAGATAAAAAGAAGTAGAAAAAGGTATTCGAAAAAAATTTCAACAATGGAATCCATATCCATTTTTCCAAACACTTGCCATGGCAACACAACTCAGCTGTATACTGACTAATTGCGTTTGCTACATGCATAAGAAAAGTGAGTGATGAAAACAAAATGATGATTAAGAACAAATTGTTCTGTTTTCTGCAACTTAGGCCAATAAATGTCCATGGTGCCAAGGGCGTGACACTGATGGGGTAGAGATATCATAACATTTTTTCATAATCGAAGGGTACATCGAGCATTTTCCTAGAAATTTACAACCAAGGATACGAATGAAGGAAATTATCTGAAAAACTTACTGGGATGAATCTCTCATGCATCCAATATGCCAAACTCTTCCGAGTTCATAATTCAGTGTGTTCTCAAGCCTGTACAACAATGAGCGATTGAGTAATTTGAGATTGAGAAGTAGCTGAACTAAAAATCATTTGATAGAATAATTACTAAAAATATAAGCAATTGATCTGGAATAGAACCAAAATGTTAGGGCTCATAGTACGAAAATGCTCAAGTTTTCTTGTTCTAGCATTTTTATTTCTATGGTTG